TTCTCGCCATTAAATCAGTTGATAAACTAATACTACCTAGCCTGCGTAGCAGGCGTATTAAGGGGTGGGGAAGGAGGCAGATCGGCAAAAAAAAAAAAGGTGGAGTCGGGCGGGGGGAAAGGGAACGCCTGCTACAAAAGCCGCTTCTTTTACATCTCCGCCCGCCTACTGTTTTACGGTAATCGGATTAACAGAGCTGTCAGTTCAATGGCCAATCGGAATAAGGCGCGCGCTTTTCTGCGTGAGTCATTTTACGCGGGAAGGCGTGAAAAAATATTCCTAGCAGCGAGCTCTAGCATTGTGAGAAAATCTTCAAGCCGTGAAATGTCAGCAACTCCCACAAAGGTTTGTAAAAGAGGAAGAAAACCAAAGATAAACATTAAAAAAAAAAAAACAGCAGCTGCGGATTTTGAGGAGTTAACTTTACTTCTGGAGGAGGAAGAGCGTCATTTGAAAATCTATTTTCGCCATCGGGCAGAGAAGGAAGTGTCGGGCTGCTTTTAGATGAACGTTGCGGCTCGATTGGGTTTCCACTAACGAGAGACGAAAACCTTTCAGAGCGGGTCTGTAGATCCTGTGGTCCCAAAATACGAAATGCTGCTGAACTGTACAGTTTTATTGAGCGAGCTGTATGTAGCACAAGAGTTGCTGATGAAGATTCAAACTGCAAGGATTCGGAAGATCGATGTAAAAGACAACTTCCCACCACTGTCACGCTTGAAAGACGCAATACCGAAAAACTGGTAATCGGATAAGACGGTAAACACAACCAAAAAAGTACTGGAAAGGTTAATTCCAAAAAAGGCTTGTTTTCGGAAAGCTTGACAACGAGTCATTCTTCGAAACGTGAAGAATTGATCAGTGATATCGACACGTTGGTATTTCGTTGGAATTTCGCAATTAAAAAAAAAAATCATATGCATATAAAAAAAAAACCAAAATTACGCTCACCTTTTACCTGTCCACGTTTCAACTGTGTGAGATTCGTCGATTACAATTGCCCAAATGTTTTAATTAAGTGATGAACTATGGTAAATTAGCATTTCTCTGAAGGCTTTCTCCTTGACTTTCTCAGCTATTGCATAGAGAACTTCAAAATTACATATCCGAATTTCTTAGACCATCATTTCTCTGCTATCGACTGCAGAATATCTTATTGATTTCAGGTCCAGTATCTGATCTTTTATGATGCTAACCAACGAGAGATCACGAGAATCGATGCTTTACTATTCATTTCAAAATCCCTCGCGCGAACAAACATTTGATATATGAGGCTTTTGCCGTAACCTGTGGGCAACACCGCTAATACATCTTTTCCATCTAGAACAGATTTTACTGCAACTTCTTACTCCGGTTTTAACTTGAATTCACCACGAGCGACGACGTTCAAGTCAGCCAAAGCTCTTGCAAACACGTCTACTTCGGCCGCCATTTTTGTTGTTTTCGCAATACTGCAATACTCCACGAACACGTCCTATTGTC